TGAGATTATACAAAATTAGTGTATAAGAAGGAACAAGCACAAGAAAGATGGCAACTGCCACCATTCTGGACTTGGCAATTACTAAGATACTAACAAAAATATCCTTACAGTCCAGTTTCAAAAGAGGCTTAACATCACACAGGTAGTGATCAATGTGGTTGGGACCAAACACCATGAGCAACAAAGACATAGAGTGCCAGAACCCCACTGTCCAGGCCGTGGCAATTAGCAGGTTGCAAAACCTGCTGGAAAAAACGCATACAAATCTGAACATCACTACATATATATACATGAAGGCTATCAAACAAAGAACACAGTACTAGACAAGAGAAGCCTCCCTTCATTCTGTTGTTCAGTGTAGTTGAAGAGACTCCCCAAACAATACATGCTGTTGTGACAGTCCTTGGTTACCTCTCAGTACTTGAAGGTAAGACCCTATTGCCGAAGACAGAATATACTTCTTACATAAGACTTAGATCATGGGAGCTAGGACTGATCTGAAGTGTTCTCTTACAGACTAGCTCTCTCAGTTCTAGAGGTTACTATGCAAGCTTCTAAAGGAGGCAATAAATCAACTGTGAACCCAGCTCTAAAATCTAATAATCACAATGTCTGTCACAACAAACTATCTATCTCTATCTGTGCACTTTAATCTAGGAAGTTATGGGGCTGGAGAGATGGCTCAGTGGTTAAGAACACTGTTCTTGCAGAAGACCCATGTTCAAATCCCAACACCCACATGGCCACTAACAACTGTCCATAACTCCAGTTCCAGGGGATCCAACACCCTCTTCTGTCCTCCGCGGGTATGTTCATGCACTTACCTACATGTAGGCAATACACGCATTCACATAAAAATAATGAATAAAATATTTAAAAATTCTAGGAAGTTATCAGCAGCTATCTAATTGGACTTAAAACCCTCTCAATGGGAGAGAACTCATGGTTGGCACTGTAATCAGAGCCAAATACACATGGTTGATGAAATCATAGACCCTAAAGAAAATCCTATCTCTGTCTTACCACTAGACAAATGAAATTTCGTACTGTATGCTAAATAGTGATCCTTGTACTTACAGGCAAACATATTGTATACTACTAATCACAGAAGTTTCTTTATGCAACAGATGGAAGGTAATATAGAGTTCCACAACTAATCACACACAGAGAATATACATCTGAGTGATACCCAGCCCTAAGTCATACATCTACAGTGAAACCTTTACACTTATGGCTCAGTGAACATAGCAGAACAGGAGTAGAGTGAATATTAATACATCCCTCAATGCTTACCAGCAAAATTTCCTCACACGATAGAGTGCAATGCACAGAGAAGACCACAACTGGTTAAAAATATTTTTAGAGAGAACAAAATACTCTTGAGTCCCTGGATAAAACTCCTATATTAAACCTCACCCACCCACGGCTCAGGGACCATTGTGGAAGAGGAGGCAGAAAGATTGCAAGAGCCAGAGTTAGTGCATGAACATAAGGAAACAGAGAATTTCAGGCTATTGGGTTCTTGTTCATATGTACTTGCAACAATGGTAACAGCATGCACAAAACCCATGCCAACTCAGTCAGACAACAACCCAGCATAGAATGAGGGAAATGGACAGCAGGTCTTAATTCTGTCCCAGGAGCTATTGGCAACTGATTATTGTTGGGTGAGGGAGAGTTTATCTTCTTTAAGACAGTGACTCTAGATAGACAGACTAGAGTCCAGTGGATGAATTGCACTGAAGGACATCTGGGTACAAAATGCTTGACTATAAAGGATTTAACATATATGACAGAAAGCATGATGGGGTGGACTATGGGGAGGGGAGCAGATGGGGATGGGGTTTAAATTTGTGTAAGATCTCTTATGTGAAATGTGCAAAAACTCAATAAAATATTTTAAATAGTATGGATTAAAGTATATTGCATATATGTGTAAAAATATTATAAACCCATTATTTTATACAATTAGCATATACTAATAGAAAGGAAATGCATAAAAGTTAAAAAAAAAGTGCCACTACTGCACCAATAGAGGTAGTATTCTGTGTTGATCATTGCTATGATTATTTGGCTTTAAAACTAGGGTTGGACCATTGGTTGATTTTCTCTTAGAAGATTGCCTAGTATCTTCTAAAACTATGAGAGTTAGTTAGTCTTCATGGAAGGGAACTGCCTTTTCAAATGGGTAATAGTTATGAGGGATTTATTTATTTATTTTTACTTTTTTTGTCTGTTTGAAACAGGGTCTCTCTGTAGCCCCAGCTGTCCTGGAACTCACTATGTAGACCAGGATGGCCTTGAACTCACAGAGATCTGCCTGCCTCTGCCTCCTTAGTGCTGGGATTAAAGGCATGCACCACCATGCCCAGCCACAAGAGGGATTTATAACTGATCAAAGGTATGAAAATAAGTGAGTGCTACTGTGGTAGGAGACCCCAGTATTCAGAAAAGGACCATATATTTAGCACTCTTTCTAAAGCTCAAGGAGCGTCCTGGAGAACAAAGGAAAATGTAAGAGCTAGAGGAAACGGTAAAAGTGTTGGGTTATAGATATTTGTCTGAGGTGTGAGTATTGGCTATCATAAAACTGATGTTGCTATGGTGACATAATGGCAAAGTAAGCTAAACAGTAAATACTACTTTGGATTGATAGCATAAAGAAATAAATTACAAAAATAATTTAAGAGTAATATAATTCTATAAATAACACAAAGAAGTAGAAAATGAATCTCAGTTCAATAAGATTTTTTTCACTATTTACATAATATCATGACTTTACCCTTAAAGTTTTTGGGGACTTAAGGAAATAAAACAAGTTACACTACATTGTTTTTTTTTTTTTTTTTTTTTTTTTCTTTTCCCTTGTGGTTTGTTTTACTGCATATACTTCTTTGTGATAGTATAGACAATTCCATCACTCATTTTCTGAACGTTCAAGGCCCTCATGCCATAAACACATGGGCATGCTCATAATGCTAATGCACATACAAGCACATACATACGCTCCATGTTTCATAACTCAAAATCCAAATATTTATCTAGGTGCGGTAATGCACACCTTCAATCTTAGCACTCAGGAGGCACAGACAGATGGATCTCTGTGAGAATGAAGCCAACTCATCTACATAGTGGGTTTTAGACCAGCTGCTGCTACAAGGAGACCCTGTCTCAAAAATTTTAAAAAAATCAATATTCCAGGGAAAGACACTTCATTACATCAAGAAATAAATAATGACTCAGAGCTAATTTTCCTTTGAAGAGGGAAAAACCTTGAATGTTCTACATTTTTACAGTTTTATGGTGTGGAAGACCGATTTAGAAGTATGAAACTATCTGAATTGAAACATGAAGCAGAGCTCCTTACACCAAGGACAAGTATTGTTGAGTCTAATGTCTGCCCACCTCCACTGTTCCTGCATGATTACAAGACAGGAATAATCTATTCAGGGACACTGTGTATAGAATGAATTCAGGAATTGTGACCAAATAAGACAAGTGCATAAATAGAGAGAAAAAAATAAATCTAACAAAGGGAACAAAAACACTGAGCTGAAATTGAGTATTTGTTGGGAAATGGCTACACACCTATGAAAAGTATGCTGCCCTAATGTAGAAAATACGTAAGCAGAAAGACTTTCCCAAGGGGCCGGCGGGAGGCTAGATGTCATTCTCCTTTCATTTTATAGATATTTGCTGATTGTTTTTATTTTTCTGAAAGTATGTGTCATAGTGTGCAGTTGTTAATGACATCAGTGAAGAATCTAGATTGGGGAGCATAGTACATACTGTGAAATAAATAAAAATAATTAGTATTTGGGTGTGTTACCCAATGGTATACCACATGTTGAATTCTTAAAGTTCTGACTTAGAAGGTCCATGAGCACAGAAAATAACAAAAGTATCTTTCAGAGGCATTCAGTGTGCTTATGAACCCTTTAACATGTTCAAGGGTCCTTTCAATGAAAAAATACAAGAAAAATATTTTTATGTTATGTGAAAATAGTAGATTATATTCATTACTTGTCTCAAACAAAGTGTGAGAGTTTTTAGTAGTAAGAACTGCCTAAGATACAGGATTATTTGAAAGAGAGTAAATATACCAAGGAATAGGAATATAAGAAATAATAAAGAATTTTAAATTCTTGTGCCCTGATTCTGGGTATCCAGAATCTTCTTGAAGAAGAAAACTACTGTTGTGTGGTGTTCTGTAAGATGGAGGCTCTTAAACATAGTAACCAGAATATGGTAAGCTGAGGTGGTGAAGGAATAATGCCCTGTGTGGGAAATACTTCACAGCACATCCACATAAAGGACATCAGAGGAAGAAGAAAAGGACATAAGAAAAAAGAAACAAAACTATACTCTCTAGAAAATGTGCCCTCTTCAAACTTACAAGCATTAAATGCATAAGCCTCCATCTATAAAATATAATATGAAAAGTTACAAATGCACTATGTCCCCCAGAATTCCCTAATCCCAAACCCTACCATCACAACACCATAACTATTCCTACTGTGTGAGTGAAAATGTTCTTAGGTAACCCACTAAAAAGTACAATGATTATGTGTCAATGAAGAATAAATTTAAAAATAGAGTAAAAACAGGAAATTAAGAAGGTTAGATTAATTATATTTCTAAGAAAAAAATGGAAATCAAATAATTTTATAGGACAGACAATTTACATGATGAAAGATAAGCTTTATCTGTCCTTTTTCTTTTGCTGCTGGACATGTAACCAAGGAACTTCCCCTTTCTAAGCAAGTACTGTGCCACTGAACTAAAGCAGGAGCCAGGAGTCTAAGCTTCCATAGGACAGTTTTACAGTCTACATATTCACTTGATCACCTCTGGTCCACCTCCAAACATGAAATCTACACTTCAATTTGAGTAGCAATGACTTGCTTCTTTGATTTATATAACTTCCCTCCAACGTAGCCTATGCTGCTTCTGTGACCTTACAAATGATAACTGAAAGCACCATAATATATTTTTATTTACTATAATTCTGACTGTGTCATTCGAGACCACACCTTCTGCATTGCGCTTTTCATCTCAGCGTTTCTCAGAGTGTAAATGAGGGGATTTAGCATGGGGGCGATCACAGTGTAAAGCACAGAGATTTCCTTATCATTGTTATCACTTCCTACGGGTAATACATAGGTATAAATACAGGGCACGAAAAATGAAACTACTACCATTATGTGAGAGCTACAGGTCGAGAGAGCTTTGCGACGCCCGGCAGATGATCTTGACCTGAGATTATACAAAATTAGTATGTAAGAAACGACAAGCACAAGAAAGATGGCAACTACCACCATTCCAGAATTGGCGATCACTAAGATGCTAACAACACGAATATCTTTGCAGACCAGTTTCAGAAGAGGCTTGACATCGCACAGGTAGTGATCTACGCGGTTGGGACCACAGAAAGGCAGACTGAGCACCATGAGCAGCAAAGCAATAGAGTGCCAGAACCCTACCCCCCAGGCCGTGGCAATCAGCATGTCGCACCTCTTTCGGCTCATGATGACCATGTAATGCAGGGGCTTCACAATGGCAATGTAACGGTCCAAAGCCATGGACACCAGAATGAAGATTTCCACACCTGACAGCAAGTGGGCAGTGAAGAGCTGGGTCATGCATTGATTATAGGAAATGTTTTTTCTAACTGCAACCAAGTCTCTGATGAGCCTGGGAACCACGGTTGAGGTGTAGCAGAGGTCCATGAGGGAAAGGTGGCACAGAAAGTAATACATCGGCTGTTCCATTAGGTGACTGCAGGTGATCGTGATTAGAATGATGGCATTCCCCACTAAAACTGCCAGGTAACAAAGCAGGAACAAGAGGAAGAACAGCAGCTCTATTCGCCTGTTTTCCCAAAGTCCCACAAAAACAAACTCTGTGACATTTTTATGATTTTCCATGGATTCCAGATGAATTCACAATACACAGTACAAATTATATTCATTTAAAATTATTTTTTAAATGATGTAAATTTGCTGCCTTCTTTTTAGTCTCAAAAACATTTATAAATTGAATAACCAGAATCATATTTATTATACACTTTAATTAAACTTTTTAAGGAAAAAGGTATATTTTATGCTTTTAATATATTTAATTAAATATCAGTACCAATATTTAATAATAGGCAATATCTTATGCCTAGAAATTTCATAGATATCTTGTACTATTTAACCCTCAAAGAAACTCAATAGGTATTAGTCACACATTCATTTTACATGTGAATCAATGCAAAACTAGCAGGTATTAGAGACAAAATATTATGCGAGTATTATGTAACAAATATAAGATGTGAGCCTGCATTTCTTTCCTGATTCCATTCTCTTAACATCTGTGCCACTTTTTAAACCAAGTATCAGTCCAACTGTTTTCCATCCCTGTAAATAAATCAGGATTGCATTACATTGAACACTATCTGTTAATTGCTAACTGTATAAAATCAAGGAATTCTCTTTCCTTTATTTCATACATGATTTGTCTACGAAATCTTGATCTCACAACTGGCATTTCATATATCCAGTAGAATTAGTATTCCTTCTTCAAAAAGTATCATGCACTTAATCACATCCATGAAGCAGTCTGAAGTAGCTGGCAAGTTTCAGTGTTTCTCCTTGGTAAATTTGAACAAAGTTCTAGATAGAGTTTGGATATAAAGAATTGAGGCAAACATTAGTGGTATCTAAATTGAAAGCTGATTTATATATTAGTCAAAAATATGTATTAAAATATGAAAAATGAGTTAGTTGATATGCAAATTGTCTTGATATTCTTCTTGTTTCTGACATTTACATTTTGAATTGTAATATCATACCCATAAATATATCATCCCCATAAAGATGTAGTCACTGTATCTATTCAAAATCAAAAACATACTCTAAAAAAGTTGTTAGAAATTCTAAAGACATCTTTTAGAGCTAACCGCTTACATGTTAGAACTACTTTATAAAGCTATTCGTTTTCTAGAGACAAGATGGAGGAATTAATGTAATTTTAAAGTACTACACTGCTTGTTTAATGTTACAGAGAGAGCACTGGAGATATGGTGGTCTCTTAGAACACAGAGGTAATATGTGTAATGCATCACCTTTTAACAATGTTTCAATGTCATTCTCAGCATTGTCTAAGGGATAGATTTCTCTGAATCTGTGTTCCCTCAGTGCAACTGGTAAGGCAGATCCAGCTTAGGGGCAGGCAGTGACCAATCAGCTGAGAATCTGTGATGTTCTTTTTCTCTACAGCTGAGCAATTCATTAGCTTTGAGCCTCTTTCTTCAACTGGTATGAAGAAGTAATGCTACTCAGTCAACTTCCCTTCCTCCAAAAGCAGAATGAGTCCAAGAATGGAAGATGTAAAAATCCTGTCAAATCAAAGGACCCTACGTTCTGAAAACTCTTTGGAGAAAACTAATATAAAAGTATCAAATTTACTAGTTAAAACGTTCAGCTTCTCTTGATTTGCATTCTCCCTCAAGGATATAGGTGAATTAAGTTAAGCACACAAAAGAAAATATATTGCCATTAGTTTAAGTTTGTTCCAGCTTCAAATTATATGGAAGAGTCTGAGAAATGGAAAGCAAAATGAACTTATTAATGATTTCTCATTAAATTTTTTGAACAGAGCTGTAGTAAAACTATAAAACCAAGATTATAAAGAGTACAAATATTGGTTCAAAATCTTTCTCCAGATATTGATACAAACCTCAAATTCTTTTTACTTGAAGATAGATGGCAGTCCTTCTTTCAGTGATTGAAAGACATCTATGGTAGGTACAGAGCGATGTGGCCAAAGATGCTACAAAGACCTTGCTTGGAGTCTCTAATAGAATTCCTTTGAACAGGTCACATCATGTTGAAATATCCACAGGTTTGAATCCATCCTAAATCCCTTTCTGTTCCTCTTTTCAAAAATAGTTATTTAAAGAAAGGAGAAGAAGAAAGGGAAAGGGAGGGAGGGAGGGAAGAGGAAGGGGAAGGAAGGAAGGAAGGAAGGAAGGAAGGAAGGAAGGAAGGAAGGAAGGAAGGAAGGAAAGAAGGAAGGAAGGAAGGAAAGAACGCTTATTTTAGCTCAGTCTTTGAGTATACAATCCATCCTGTATAGGTAGTCATTACCCCGAGAGCAGCTCTAGTTGTGTTATCAGGTGAATTATGTTCCCAGTCATGTTTAAACCAGTCAGAAAACATAAAAACATGAATGTTGATGTCCCAATAGTGTCATTTTCATACATTGGTCATTTGTTGATCCTTTTCTCCTGCTTTCCTGACTACCACACACCTTCGGTGCAATTATTACTATGCTGCTTTCCTTTCCCTTCTGGTAGCCTCTTTGATCCCTTTCATGTGACACATGTTCTATTACCCTGTTTCTTCTATTAGTATAATTTTTAAATCTCTCTGTCTCTCTCTCTGTCTTTCTGTCTCTCTGTCTCTGTCTCTGTCTCTCTCTCTCTCTCTATCTCATACATACACAATCAGGTTTTAAGAGTAAAGCATTTTTACTTGATTTGCTAACCTATTTATTATATAAAAACATAGCTTCCAAAGTCTGCATACTCAAATATTGATGGAAAAATTTCTATGCTGTATTACTTCAAAAGATATATTAACTGCTCTTCAATAATAATAATAAAAATAAAGCACTGAAGTACAATTCTTGAGAGGTGAATAAAAGACTAAGGTCATGAGAATATATTGGCAGTTTAAGCCCTCAAAAAAAGTTTATATATTTTTTTCCAACACTTCAAATAATGTTGCCTTTAAGGAAGAAAATTATAGAATAAAAATACATTAATTACTCATATTTTTAAAGTAAAATATCTATATACTACATATTTAGTAGAGATATTTTCTGGGCATGGTATTAAAATAATTCTTATTACTTACAATATTTTAAACCTGACATGATGCAGTGAGGCATATCTCACTGTTTTTCTGTCTGTTTTATCAAATAACGATGCCAGAAGTCAAGACTGCACATGTAAATCAGGGAACTCAGTGTCTAAAGCATGTTTGTATATTTATGAAGATCCTACTTGAATAATAGATGCTTGAAACCTTTGCTTTCCGATTTCCAAACCATTGAATTTCCTTGGATGTGTTTTTCTTAAAACTAACCACAGCAAAACATCCCCGAAGTTAAACTTATAAATGTGATTTACTAAAATCAAATTTCATGTTGAATCCATTCACTATTCCAAAGATTTTTTTCTAAATAAAAAAAAAGAGAGAGATACAAGCACTGATTCTAATGCTTCTGCTAAAATTCAAAGTTGTCTGGAATGTCAGAATGGTCCTTCAGGATGGTTGCTCTAACTCCTCTGTGAACATGAGATGAAAGAAAACAGTAGATGTGGGAAGCAACTATCTCTCCCATGAATCTTCAATCACAAATAGCATTATAAGGATTCATTGCTTGAAATACTCTGCAGTAAAAGACATAGGAGACCCAAGGGAAAAAGTCTCAGAGGTATTTTTAAAAAACAATGTTGTAGTTTTTACTGTGAAAATAAAGCCAAATCTATCTAGTGGTCTTATAAGTATGTGTAGGTCTTTCTTTTATTAATCTCTTTGGATTATTACATACATGCTTCATTGTTTCTGTAATGTGATTGTGCTGGGAAAGTAATATGATGACTTTTCTCCTTTGTTTTCCAGAAACATTTCCTTAAATACTCAAATGGCTATTGACATAGCCTTACTAACAAATGTTGAATTATTTATCATGAAATTTTATCGTGTTAGGAGAGTACCACAATGTTATCCTCAGCAATAGTATCCTCAGAAACATTTCATTTATCATAGAAGTCTGAAAATACTTCCTATAAGTTTAATTATGACCACTGGAAATTTAAAAGTCATATAACCAACTTTGTGTCAATAGATATTCACTAGCATTAATATAATTGTCAAAATGGGACAAATCTACAGTGTATAATCTGCTTGTCCTTATTTTCATGTGTGTCTCTTTGGTTCTTTTCCCTTTTTCCTTTTGTGATTGAAGAAGAGACGTGCTTGTAGAACATAAAAGGAACAGGATATGCAAACTGTACAGGATCCCTCCACAAGGTTTCTTTTTTATTCTATAGTTTATAACCTTTTCTACTTTCCTCATTATTTCTGAACACCCTCAGTATGATAAATTGAACTGCATCACATGTCCTTTCTCATTTTCCTATATCTGTTCATATCTTGAAATTTTTTTATTACAGTTGATTAGATTGCTGTTTTTAGTCGCTTTGCTGTACAACCCAGGTGGAGATATTTGTTTAAAAATATAGCCTCAAGACATAGAAAACACTGGATAGGAATGCATGACAAGACAGTGCATGCAATTTCACAGTGGAAAAGTGAGTGCATATTCCATCCTTAAATACTGATGAATTGTTGGACATTAAGCCAGAAAAACATAAATGATTTCAACAATATTATTATTAACAATTATTTTGATAATGAATAATTTGTTATTAATACTTTGCTGAACATTTAATGACTGTATTTTTCATGTATGAAGCATAAAATTTACACAGTTATAAAATTATTCTAAAATCCTCAAAAACAAATTTAAAGAAGTAATCTTACTCAGGAATTTAGTATAACAGATAACATATCTAGATCTAGTTTTTGGTAAAAAATATAAGTAGAGGCAGAGTTAAATATGAATGGACTTGGTAGAAATTAAAACTACAAACTTTCAGCTATCTAATTTGTTAATAAATAAATCAAAGGGCTTCAGTGCTGTTTAGTATTATAATACTTGGCTAGCATTTAGGGAACAATATTAGTAAATTATTGTAGTATATATAAGTATATATTTAAGTTTATACTCAAATTCTTATTTTAAAACTTTATTTTTCAAAATATGAATGAAATTCAAATTTTTACATACAGGTATGGAATTAATCCAGCAC